CGTGCGACTTTGTTGGCCATCTCGTTTGCGCAAGCACCGGTTGACAAAGTTGTGCGGGTAACCATTTTCTCTGAACACCCGTCGAAGGTATTGTACGTCGGCAACTTTATCTTCTGGTTCACTGCAGTACGTCTCAACACGCCGATAGAACGTCTTTACGCAACTGCGTTTGTGGCTGATTGGGTGGTTGCTGTTGTCATTCAGTATTTGCATGGTGTTTGTCACTTTCCTGAATACTTTAGTTTTAGGCCGCCACAATCTTTGTGGCAGACAAGGATGTCAAGGAAGGCCAGTTGGTTGTTCTCTTCCTCCTTCATCGTGAATTGGATGTTCGGGAAGACGCTGTTGAGACGTTCTTTGAACCTGAGCACCTGATCCCGTTCGATGACGACGAAGGTGTCATCCACATACCGCGCCCAGAAGGTTAATTTCCTATCTTTTGAGGGAATTTTCGTACGTGTACTATGGAGAAGATTTGAACCTCGTGTACATACAATAAACAGTATTTTTGCGTCCTCTTTGTCTCTCCAAAGCTGGCCGCAAAATGAAGAATAAAGCAATCAACACACACACACACGAAAAACTAAAGAGGAAATACAAATTGAGGGTGAATAAAACTTTAAATAGCCGGAATAAACTGCAATATAGGACCTACTGTTGGCCCCTTTGAATCGTCCCGTTTACCGTGTCACTTTCGATCAGTTTGGACACATTGATTATTGTATGCCAGCCGGTCAAGTTCAACAGACCGACATGTCCTGCCTCCAGCGTTCCATTTGTGGAGTTGCGACAGGTCCTGGTCGCTGCCTTAATGAGGTCCCGTGGGGGTTCGAGTAACAGATACAGAGTAATGTTGTCATCGGCAGAAGAGCTGTTCAGTGTGCGATTGAGTAATAGAGGCCATGCCTGTTGTATATATCTGTTGAGCAGATAGTCTGTCTTTGCCGCTCCACTTGCAGACTCCAAGTAAGTACATCCCTCGGAGGCCAGCAGCATCGTCAGCGGTAAAATCAGAAGCAGGGCGCCCAGAAGGCACAGAAGCAGTATCATAATGACAGCATAGGCGATAAAGCCACAATTGCTGCACACCTTCGAGGACATGGCCGGATCTGGGAGTTTAGGAGGACCTGCACCCATGAATAACATCAGAGGTTGCGCAAGACTTAAGCAAAAAAAACACTAACAATATTGAA